CCCCCGGCCACACTCCTACAACATTCATCATCTTTTTGTTGGTTTGGTTACTCAGCTACTTTTCTAAAGAGGGAGAACTGCGATCTGACCCTGTAATTATGCATTTCTAAAGAAATAAATATGTATTTATGAAGGGTGTCCTGTGGCTGCCCATCCTTGGCATCTCATGCTTTAGATGGAATTGCTTTTCAGGTTGCAGGGCTTCACCCTAACCCCTCCACTCCCCCGCCGGTTCAAGCGGCTTCTGGACTGTTCACCCTCCTTGAGTGGAAATGAAACCCACACTGTTCCTCTTGGCTTTTGCTCACCTCCTTCCACTGATGCAAAAAGCAGTGCTCCTGGAGGATACGTGTGTGTGTGTGTGTGTGTGTGTGTGTGTGTGTGTGTGTGTGTGAGAGAGAGAGAGAGAGAGAGAGGGTGTTTAAAACCAGTGCAAACGGTGTTCCATCGAGGATTACAAAGGAACTATAATCCCTTGGAAAATGAAAAGGATTATCTTTGATGCTCCAGTGATAAGCGTGGAAAGTGCTGTGCAAATCTCTGGCCTGGGGAGAGCTTTCTACACCCAGAGGACCATCCTGGGAAGGGGTTTATCGGTGAAGATGCATCCGATGGCGAGGCAGGTGGCCATGAGAACCTCCAAAGGAAGAAGGGGCCGTCCGGCTTCCCAGTCCTAAGCTATCCAGAGCTTTGAAAATGTGCATTAAGACTTCAGACTGTGCCTGGAAGTGGATGAGGAGCCACTGCTTCAGGACCACTGAGATACGACCCCAGCGCTTGATCTCCTCAGTAGCTCAATGACTGTGCGTAGGACTAGAAGCTGTTTCCAGACAGTCCTCAAGAACAGCCCTGTAGGAGCCAGGTGATTGAACGGGGCAAGGGCTGGTCCTAACACCTCCCCTCTATATTCCCATGTCCTGTTTGTGGCTTTGAACGTGGGGTGGGGGGCACCAGTTCAGCGCACACTGCAGGTCCTCTTCCTTCAGGAGACAAGGGTTGGGAAATGCCATGTGAGAAAGGACCACAGGCCCTGCCTGGACCCACGCCCGTCTCGGCAGCCTATGGAAGAACTCGAGCTCTGTGGATCATCGCCCCGTCTTGGTTCTTCAACATACCGGGAAGCACCCTCCTTCCAAATAGATCCCAAAGCGGTCAGTTGAGGGAGAGGTTTTCAGACCGGTGGCATGGAGTGGGGAGTCTGTGCATGCAAAGCGTATTTCTGGAAAGGGGCCCTTCTCACTTCCCCGGAATGGGGTGAGGGAGAGGGCTTTGGGAGAGGGGCAGAACAATTGCCCAAGAGTTCTGATGGTCAGGCTCCTTGGGAGAAACACGCAGGAGACACGATGGATGAGGCCGTTCAGGGAAAGGTGCCGGCTGGCACGCTGCTTGTCCGAGATCAGCCCTTCTCCTTCTTACAGAAACAGCAGTTGGGGGATTTTCAGCAACGTTGTCTTCTGCGGAACGACCAGTGTGGCTGGAAGAGTTCGTTGTGGTGCAAATAAGCATGGAAATGGCAATGCAGGAGAAAAGAAAATATTTGACTACAGCAAAAATGCCTCCTGTGTTTGGTTCTTCCGTTGTGGTGTATTTTTTCCTCTTTGTGCTGCACCCCATAATAAACGAAAGGCGAGTTAAATGGAAAGCCAGGCTGAGCAAATTGGACAAGTTGACAGAAGCCCTAATAGAGCAGAGGAAGAGCTTTGACTTGCCAGTTTTTCCAGACTCCCTGCCTGACCTTGGACTTTGTCCCTTACCTCTGGGACTTTGAATCCTCTTCTGTAAAATGGAAAGGGCAGTGGAGCTGGGGGAATGACTTTAGCAATTCCAACCCCCATGCCAGAAAAGCCAGATCCTGCAACCAAACTGAATTATGTAAATTTAAAACTTTGCATATATTTGCTGATGTAGAGAAATTATTGTTAGCTGGAAGATTCTCTTGTTTCAAGGCAAAAATGATTATTTCCATGCCTAGCAAGATTATAGGGCTCCGGGGTGAAACAGAACAGACCTTCCCCACAATGTCCACTAAAAGCTGTAACTTTAACCACCTCTTCTCGATTCTGCCTCTAAAATCCTAACTCTTAAAAATGGTGCCAGCTGGACGACCCTCTTGAAAATAGCCTCACAGAACAGGGAAAGAAAAGCTGAAGAAAATCTGGGCAATGATTCTGCAATATCCTTTTCCTTCTCATCCACATTTTTATTTTATGTATGTATTTATTTATTTATTTTGGGTGCATTGGAGTCTGGATCATCATATCTAATTTGTTTTGGGAGGAGAAGAAGTGGATTCATGCAGTTCCTGAGCAATGCTAAGTTACACTCTCCTTTCCTGAATTCACTCAGCAGCTGATTGATTTTAAGACATTTATATATTGCTTTCCTTGAATTTTTACACCAGTTTACACTTTTCAGATTTAGCATGAAAAGGAGTAGCCGCCCCACCCCAAGCCTTGAAGAATGATGAGTTGAAATAAAATACTCTATAAGACGGCAGCCTTGGAAAGTTTATGAGTTTGGAAGAGCTGGGTCGTGGTGAAGAAAATCCATGTTGGACACCAAAGCTGTGTTGCCAGCGCGCCCCAGTGTTCCAGGAGACAGTTTGGAGCCTGGCCTCCAGTTGCCCTCCATATCTGTCGTAGGAAAGGAATGGACCCCAAGGTCAGCCAGAGACCTGTACGGGATGAGATGAGAGATGAGAGGAGGTGCTTAAGCTGTTGCTGGCGCCCATCCCTGCAAACGTCGCCGGTTGTTAGCCATCAGTGTCGGCCACCAACCACCTTTGCTGGGAGCTGAGGGTCGGAGCCTACCTGGCTGCCTTCCTCCATTAGCATTATGTATTTCTACCAATGTCAGCAAAGATTAAACCACTTTTTGAAAGTAATCACTTCTTGACTGAACATCATCTTAGGATGCGCAGAGGAGAACCTATTTCGGACGGGAGCCGTCTCCTCCTCCTCCCTGCTCTAGAAAGTGAGGATCTGCTTGGGTTCCTTATAATCAGAGCTTGGGAGCAACCGGTCAGAAGCAGGACGCAAAAATGAGGTGCTTTGCTTGCTGCGTAAGGTGGGTGTGACAAGTTGCACTTCAAAAGTAATTTTTGCGAAATTGGTGTAAGGCGGAACATGTTCTGGATGCTTTGCGGTGACTGTTTGGGGGCCTTTAAAGGCATTTGTCAGAGGTGACCGGAGTGGATCTCCTTGGTTTTGTACCATTCTCTAATCCGTGTCAAGGGTTCTGGTTTCCTTATGGAAGGAAAAAGTGAAAAGCAACACAGGAAACTGAGGCTCAGTTTTTGCAGCAACAGATTGCTGGTGAGTGTTGTCGTGAGGTACGTGTCAAAGTATTTTTTAGAAGTAACTTTCCAAGTTGCTTTTTAAGAAAGCATGTTGGGCACGGCTTCCCATCCACAGTAGAAGCTGTTCCAAGACCTCTGTTCAGAGCACGTTCCCATCATCATCTCTCGAGACTGAAGGATGCCTATGCTGGGCACGGAAGGCCTGCCTGCCTGCCTGCCTGCCAGCCAGCCATCACATTGTCTGTCCCTGGACTTGGGAGTCCTTAGGGATGGCTTTGAAGTCCCACACAGCTCCTCATCCCCCGGGTCCTCTTCCTGTCGTAATCCCTCCCGGCTCGTCTTTCTCCAGAGCTTGCCCTCTCCTGCCAGAACCGGGCCTCCCTCCCTCTCTCTCCTCGGGGGCGTCCGGGGCTTGCGGCCCTCCTCCTCCTCCCCCCCCCCCCCCCCGTGAGATGCTTGCAATGGTGGAGCTGCTGCTTCGAGTCGGGAGGGGCCAGGCCGGCCGTTTTCCTTGCGGCGTCTCTGCGGGGGGGGGGGGCTGGGTGTGAGGGAGACGGGACCCGACCTGAGCGCGGGGCAAGTGGGGGCCGCTCCCCCGCGTCCCCTTGCTTCCCTGTCCCGCCGCCTCCGCCCTGGCCTCCTTGCCCCCCCCCGTGCTGAGGAGGAGACCCGGCCCGGGGGGGGGCGTTCAAGGACCTCGGAGCCACCGGACGGCGTCTGTTGTCCCTGACAGGCAGAAAAGGAAAAGGATGCTTCCAACCCCCCCCCTCCCGCAAAGGACTTATAACCATTGTGGCCATCCCTGCTCTGCTCGGGGGTGTGTGTGTGCAATCATCCTATCCGCGGCGGCAGCTGTGCGGGCCGGTCGCGCTGAGCGGAGGTCAAGGCCCGCGGCGCCGGGCCCTCCGTCCGTCCCTCCGTCCGTCCGTCCTTCCCTCCCTCCCTCTCGGCGGCCCTTCCAGGAGGCAGAGAGGTAAGAGCGCCGGGCTGGGCGGGAAGGGAATCCCTCGCTCCCCGGGAACTGGAGCCCTTCCTCCAGCTGAGCAGGGGCTGCTGCCGACGTCACCGCCGCCGCCTCGCCCGGCCAGCCCGGCTCCCTTCCCACGTCGAAGGGAAGTCCGGGCGAGGAGCATCACCGGCCCGCGGCCCTGGGCTGGCCTGCCTGCGGAGACCCGAGAGAGAGAGAGAGCGAGCGAGAGAGCCAAGAGGGGCCTTGGCATCACTTCCGACCCCGCCGCCTCCGCCGCCGCCACCGGTGAGTAGAGGATTGCTAATAATGGAAACTGTAGTCCATCAACATTTCAAGGGCCACAACTTTCCCATCCCTAATTTAAATATCAGTATTGAAGAAGAAGCAAAGCAAAAAAAAGCATGCTGCTTATATACCGCCCCATAGAGCTTCAAGCACTCTCTGGGTGGTTTACAATTTAATTATGCAGGCTACACATACACACACACACACACACACACAAGAGTTGTGCCACGCTTAGTGCCCTTTGGGCAGGGGCTGGGAGATGCCCTGCGATGCTGGCACCTGCAAGTGCCTGCCCGCTGGCCCAGAGCTGAGAAAGAGAGGCAGCAGGAAAGAGAGAGAGAGAGAGAGAGAGAGGAATCCCGGCCGGCCCACTGAACCTGCAGGCAGCGGCTTGGC